AAAGACAGGAAAAAACCTGAAACAAAAACCCATGTCTTTCTTTGTCGCATGATTCTGTTCTGAAAAGTAAAAGAAAGCTTCAATCAAACTGAAAAAAGAAAAAAAAAAACTGAATTATGGGTTGTTGTGAATCATATTCTCTAACAGAGACCCACCCAGAAAACGACCAGACTCAGCAACAACAACAGAAGCCATGCAACCATAACCAATCAGGTTCAGAAAACGACCAGACTTAGCAACAACAACAGGAGTCATGCAACCATAACCATTCAGGTTCGGCTGTTGGACCCGACCCGTCTGCTGCTAACGGAGTCCCTTCTTTTTCGGAGTTCTCTTTGGCTAACCACAAAGCAGCCACCAATAATTTCAGTTCAGATAACATAGTTTCTGAAAGCAGGGAAAAAGCTCCTAACCTTGTTTATAAAGGTCGTTTACAAACAGGAAATGGATCGCTATTAAGAAGTTTACTAAGACGGCTTGGCCTGACGCTAAACAGTTTGCGGTGTTGTTATTGTTATTATTATTATTTTTTTGGTTTATTGCTTTTTTTGGGTTTTTAGTGAGATATTTGAAGTGGGGTTTTGTGGATTTGGTTAGGAGGAAGCATGGGGAGTAGGGAAGTTGAGACACAGGAGGCTGGCAAATTTGATAGGGTACTGCTGTGATGAAGGTGAAAGGCTGCTTGTTGCTGAGTACATGATTAATGATACTTTGCTAAGCATTTGTTTCATTGTCTGTTCTAATTCTCTTTTAACTTGAAGAAATCCTTTTCTTTTTTTTTAAATGTTTTTTATTGTTCCATTTTTTAATTTCTTGCTCATGTTAAGACGTGTGAAACCTAGTTATTATCCTGACTAACTTTTCTTCCGAAGAATAAATATGCGGATGGACTTAATTATGTCACATATATAATTTGATTGCCCTTATATTTAAAGGACTGTTAGTTTAAGGTTTGCGAAATCATGCTTTGTAATCTCTTTTTCTTCATAGTGAAATTCTGTAGTGGTTGCAAAATGGACGTAGCTATTCTCACGTTGAGAGTGAATAACTGTAAATCTCTCAGGTTGAGAGTGTACTATAAATCTTGTGTGTTTCAATTTTTGTTTTAATTTCTTGCTAGTTTATTGAGTTCCTGTAATCTGTACGGAACTTATAGTATGTGTTACAGGTAGATTTTTCTTTGTAAGTTTGATATACGTGATGATATTCGCGATAATATTCTTTGATTGTTTTTGTTTTGTTAGTTAAATATTTCTCGGTTGATAATATATCTGGACATTTCTGTTTATCACAGACTAAATTTTAGTATTTGTTCACATTATACAGGGGAAAATCAAACCATTGAGTGGGCAATGCGTTTAGCAGTAGGTTTCTGCATTGCTGAAGCTTTAGACATTCTAGTAGTGAGGGCCGTCCATTATACCACGATTTAAATGCATACAGAGTTATTTTTGATGAGGTATTGGTCTCTTGAATTTAGGGTTGCTTATTATGAAAAATAATAACTATCAGTTAGGGCAGTAATTGATGTTTTTATATTGGATTTTGTAGGATGGTGATCCACGTCTTTCCTGTTTCGGCCTGATGAAAAATAGCTGGGATGGGCAAAGTTATTGTAGAACTAATGTTGCCTACAGACCTCCTGAGTATCTACGAAATGATTATTACTTTGCTAGTTGATTTATTTCTAGTGGTTACTTTTTACTTTCCTAAAATACTTATTCTTTATTATTCTTCTTGTCCAAATATAAAGGGATTTACCTGTTACTCATCTCTGGAATTTCCTCTGGTTCTCACTAATGTTACTCTACGTAATTGGTGTATCTCACATCCATTAGTTTGCTTCAATTTCTTGCATGTTTTCCCAGTAAAAGACTTCTCTTCCTTTGTGTTTCATTCTGATGTTCTTCAAACAAGTTTGAGTAAACTATATGAATGATTTTAGGTTACCAACTTTGGCAGACTTCCTGTTGTATCAACAGTCACTGTTGCAACTTCTAGAGATCTTTGTTTGTTCCTCAGTTTCTGAGGCAAAAACTTGGTTAGTATTTTTCATAGATCATACGAACAGGGAATGCAGGCCAGGCTTTTATGTAAATGGATTCTGGTGTTAATTTGTTAATTGGTTATTGTTGTTGCAAAGATAAGTTGAGTTGTTCCGATCTTTCTACTATAACATGTAAAAATAATTTCTATATGTATGATTACTTGTTTATCTGTCATTGTATTGTGCAGAACTATTTTGTACTGTTATATGATGTATGAGAACTGTTTTCTCTTTTCACTGAAATTTGTCGAACTTATGCTTCTTTGTCATTGCCACAATTTTGTATATTGTAGGGAGAGTCACCCCTGAAATCGTTATTTACAGCTTTGGCACTGTTCTTGATTTGCTAAGTGGGAAGCGCATCCCTCCTAATCATGTAAGTGGATTTAATTGGCTTACATTTGGGATAAAGGGGATGCAGAAATAGTATTCTGTAGTTATCTTATGGGCATTTGAACGATAACTTGCTTTTCAAATTGAGTTCATGAGGTTTAAATGCTCTACTGTAATTTACAGTTTCTGATTAGTTTTGAAATCTTGTACCTACCAAACTTCACAATTCCATTTCAAGAGCAGCTTGTCTTATGTCTTTACCTGTTCTAGTACAAGACATTATTCATCTTAAAGGAAACATACTTTGGTTTTATATTGATTGCTGTGCATGTTTGCAGGCACTCGATATGATCGGAGGTAAAAACTTCACTCTCCTCATGGATTCACATTTAGAGGGAAAATTTTCTACAGTGGAGGAGGCAACTGTGGCTGTTGGCCTTGCCTCTCAATGTTTGCAATATGAACCCAGGGAGCGGCCCAGCACGAAGGACCTTGTTGCCACGCTCCATTGCAAACCAAACCTGATGTAAAGAACTTTGCTGCTTTTACCTATTCAATTTCGTACTCATTTATTCTTTCTTTATTGGTGAGCCAAAGATTTGGGACCAGGAGGTTCCATCTATTCCCTTTAGTTAAGAGTTGAAAACTTTTCACATGTATGGTTTCTGCAGTAATTAAAATCACTGAATGCCCCTAGATCTGATAAAGAAAATGATGTGCCATATCTGAGTCGTCGCAGATACTTAAAGGTCTTACTGTATCAATGCTTCTACACATGCTTCACCTTTGCTACCGTTACCTTGAACTGTCCAAAAGTTAAAAAATGATATGGAGTCAATTACATTACATTTGTTACCTGGTGGCTTGGTTTTGAAGATCAGAAGTGCATGTTTTTCTTTTTAGATTCTGATTATTGTATCTCCCGGTTTGCAGGTTCCATCTTATGTCGTGCATGGAATCTCAAAGTATGAGGAAGCTCCACTTTCACCGATGGGTGAGACCTGTTCACGACTTGACCTCATTGCAATTCATCGGATATTAGTGATGAATCACTGCAAGGATGATGAAAGGACAAATGGGGTGAATGACACATTTGAGTGTATCCTTAAATCCATTTTCTCTAGTCTTTTGCTAAGAAGTCTATATAATTGCGGATTGCTTCAGTTATCTTTCGAAGATTGGATCCAGCTGATGAGAGATATGCTTAAGGTTATGAAGCGAGGGGACCATGCATTCTGTAATAAAGATTTTAAAACCGCCATTGACTGCTATTCCCAGGTTTAACTTTAAGACTTTTAACGTTTCTAGAAGTTTATGTTCTTTGGTAGAGAATTTGTCCATGATGCTATCTTGCTCATTTATTGTTTTGACATTCCAATAGTTCTGGGACAATTGATATTGTAAATTTGTGTTTACCACAGATCAGTTATCATAGTATCAAGCAGCTATTCCTGACCAAAATGACCTTTTATGTAATTGAAGTTACATGCTATAAGTTGACTCTCTTGAGCATCCGACTAATACTCATGCTGTAATGAGAGACAAATGTTAAACAAACCTAAACTATTATTAAACCTCTTGAGTTGGGATGAAGCCTTATGGTTACTTTTTCTTTCTATGCAGTTTATAGATGCTGGAACCAAGGTCTACCCGACTGTTTATGTTCGGCGGAGTCTGAGCTATCTATTTTGTGATCAACCAAATGTTGCCCTTGCAGACGCAATGCGGGCGCAATTTGAGAAGCCTAAGTGGCCCACGGCCTTCTACATGCAGTCAGTTGCCCTTGCCAAACTAGACATGCATAAGGATGCGTAGACATGTTGAAGCAACGAGGTATGAAAAGATCATGAGAAGAAAATTTAGTATTGATTCTACTCCCCCCAAAGTTTTGTATACAAAGCTGAGCTTGAAATTGAAATTCAAAACTGAAATTGTATGAAATAGCAAAGAATGTGTATTTAATTATCTTTGTTTTTTCCTCCTAATTCCAAATTTCAAGTTTGCACGAGCGGCATTGCAGTCCTGTTTTTCTCTTATCTGCAACCTGTATTTTCTTGTGGTTGTTTTCTGAATAGAAATTATTCAAAATTTAGCACGAGTGGCACTGGAATCTTGTACCCCATAAGGCATTTCTCAGACTGATATATAGGATCATTTTTGCATGACCAAATATTGAGTAGATGTTTGATCTGCAATTACACTTTCTGGAAAATTTATTAAATCTGCGCAACTATACAAAACGGATTGAACAGGAAGATGGTAGTTTGTTGCATGAGAGGGGACAGGGGTCTCAGTGCCACTCTTGCACAATAATTAGGCATCATTTCTGTTAAAAAAAAAGTGTTAGCTCATCATGTTGTATATAATTAAACTGATTTCAGAATTTGAAAAAGATTAGTTTGTTGTGTGTAGTAAGTTGGGTGGGGTGGAGACATTGAGCAAACATCGGCAGCAAAATGTTGAGATCCAGATCAGGATCAGTTAGGACTCGATGAGGTTGCAGATGAGATTCCTTCTGTCTCCCTATTGCCAATGTATATGATCAGAGCTTGAGGGGAAATGTGCATTGAGTTCATCAAATTGTTCATCGAAGCCTTTAGCCTTTTGATCTAGACAAAAGATGGCTTCTTCGGCTTTGAACCAAAAATCCAATTTCCATGCTCGTTCAAACAGCTTGCCTTCTAGTTCTCATCCAGTTATTCCTCAATTAGAGAAGCATTTGTGAAGGCTATAATTCAATGAAGCCGCCTCTTCATCATCTCCGTCAATCGACCAAAAACTAAGTGGCCCTAGAGATCTGTATGAATTGGTTGATAGTTTGCTTCAATTGCCTCTCGCACAAAAATCCATAGCCCAACATTGCAATGATCAACAGGTTAATGATTTGTTGAAAGGGTCTCTCAGGCTCTTGGATGTGTGTGGTGTGGCCAAGGATGCTTTATTGCAGGCCAAGGAAGATACCCAAGAACTTCAATCAGTTGTGAGAAGAAGAAGAGGAGATGATGCCAGGTTCGTAAATGAAGCTAAGGCATATTTAGCCTCAAGGAAGAAAGCAAAGAAGTTAATAAACAAATCTCTCAGAGATTTGAAGAGTAAATGTGGCTTTTCTTGGAAAATGATGTTGAAGCTACATTTAGTATGTTAAGAGAGGTAGAAGGAATTACCATCACAGTGTTTGAATCTCTCCTGTCCTATATCGGTGGGACAACGATGCAACCAAAATCTACCAACTGGTCTTTGGTGTCCAAGTTGATGCACTCCAACGCATAACATGGGAGGGTGAAGATTTAAAAACCAATGAATTTGAGAAAGTGGATGCAGTTTTTTGCACTCTCATTGGTCACAAAACTAGGAAATATAGTAACATGAGCATTGAGAATGCACAAATTGAGTTGAAGAAATTGGAGTCAAGCATTCAAGATCTTGAAGATGGAGTGGAGTGCCTGCTTAGGCTTTTGATCAAAACAAGAGTTTCTATTCTCAATATCCTCAGCCATTAGCTGCAGAAAATTATAACAGATGGCATCCAAAAAAAAAAAATAATAATCCACAAATTTGTTCTACAATCCTTGTATATGGCTCAAAAATACATGTATACATGATCTGATCATTAATGGATATAGTATTCATGAACAAATCTACATCTTTCTTTGTTATTCAATACATTAAAATATTAATTTAATCAGATTCAAAATATCAATTAAAATTTTTCGATGGAAAGATTGATTTTATCATGACATGAGAGTTTACCTAACCTAATGGTTCAGAATTTAACCAAAGGCATTCGGATCCTATTTCAAATTTCATGATTTATTGCCAAAATTGTCGCCAATTCTCCTTCATAAGGACAGGCACTCATTCCTCATTAGGGTTATGACCTTCTTTGAATCTGACTTTCAGAATTCAAGTTTGCAAGGAGCACGGTTGCATTGTATCACCTACATGCTACAGCTACAGCTACAGGTAAGGGCACAGCCCATAACCCAAACTACCGCTTGGCGTCTTAACGTACTGATAGCTGCAGCCCTGATTCCCAATTTGTATGATCCACAATTATAATTTCTTGGAAATTATCAATAGACCAGTAAAGTGAACCTTATGTGGACGAAGGTTGCAAACGCAGTCAAGCATCCAAGAATCCGAAATTTAGCTTAGTTGATTTATACAATCAGATATCCAGCAGGTTTGAAATTCAAATCTAAATACCTGCAGGTTGCAACCCTTTCTCCTATACCCATGTTGTGGCCTCTTTTGTTAAAAAAACAACTGGAAGCACGAATTAATTTCATACTTAACTTTGCGGCCCTAATTGAAATTTAATTGCATAACCTAAACATCACTTTAGAAATATGAAATCATTTCCAATTTTATAAATTCTACAATATGCTTCTAGTTTTCTTTTTTTTTGTTAATGTCTGAATTTTTTTTATCCTGGCCTATTGCATGATCTCTTCTGAACAGAATTCGGTTACAGGGTGATTGGTATGACCAGATCTACAGAATTTGAGTCCAAAGCCACACAGGGGTTCCATATCGCAGCTGAAAAGATTGTGCTTGTCTCATTAAACACATAAAATGTGAATGAGGTTCATATGGTTAATTCAAAAAAAAAATGTTGAAATTTGATGAAGAAATGGGCTGGCAGGTTTTGTTTCAAGGGGACAATACAACATATTCAGATCACTTAATGTTGGCAGCTTTCACCCTTTCCCTCTATAATGCAAAGACATAAAAATATGAGTATTTGCATCATGTTAATCATGTTTTAATAAAAATTTGATCAGATTCAAATGTCAGGTGTCCACAATTTTCACTTGCATGTATGTTTGTACCTGAGCAGAGATGGCAGAAGTTGCGGAGATGGTGCAGCTCATTGTTTCATTGGCTAAGTATGGATGAGAACCCCCCATTTGTATGGCTAGCCAGCTTTCCTGTCCCATTGGAAGGTATATGCCTGAGAAGGTGCCTAATCTATTGGTAGTTAGCCCAAGAGTATAATTTAATCAGCACGCCCAAATCTGACATTCACAACAATAAAATATTAGTAACAAGTTTGTCTTTTCTTGCATAACAAGACAAGCCATTCGTGCACATAATACAAGTAAATCTGTAAGTTCAAAATATATGGGTGGTTAGCTGGGTTGGGAACCTGGTGAGGGGACATTGCATTGACATTGCTGAGATTGCATTTAAACCCGAATCCAGAAAATATTTGATGTTTGATGAGGGTGAGATTCCTCATAACTCACCTCATTTATAATATGCAGATGATAAGGAAGAATCTACAACTACATTGAACATTGAAGTCTCTCAGAGGCAGAAAAGGAAAAATGACTTCTTCAAACGCTCGTTCTATAAGCTTGCCCTCTCGATCACACCCCACAGTTCCTCAAATACAAGAGCATCTTTTCCGGTTAATGCCTATTGATAGTACCTCTTTGTCATTGTCAGCAATCAACTGCAAACTCAGTGGCCTTGGAGATCTGTTTGATTTTTTTGATAAGTTTTTGTTATTGCCGCAGACACAACAAGCCTTATCCCGAGGATGCAATGAAAAATGGGCTGATGAGTTGCTAGATGGACTCCTTTTGCTACTTGATGTGTGTGGCACTGCCGAAGACGTGTTGTCACAGGCCAAACAACACATACAAGACCTTCAATCGATGTTGCGAAGAAGACGGGCTGATGGATGTGAGCTTGCAAAGGAGGTTGGAGAGTACTTAGCCTCAAGGAAGAAGGCAAAGAAGATGATTCACAAGGTCTTGAAAGTATTGAAGACTAAATATTCCTGCTCACTATCAGATAAAGTCAATGACACCACGGCCATGGTAGAAATGTCAAGACAGATTCAAGGTGAAACTCTCACCACACTCCAATCGTTGCTGTTCTACATATCTGGATTGAAGGCACAATCAAAGATTAGCAGCTGGACCTTGGTTTCTAACTTGATGCGCTCCAAACATGTAGCCTCCACCGAAGAAGCTATGGGAAGTAATGAATTTGAGAAGGTGGATACTGTGTTGCTAATCTTACTTGACCAAAAAACAAAGAAATCTAGTAACATGGGCACTGACAATATGCAAACCGACTTGAGGAAATTGGAGTTGAGCATTGAACATCTTGAACAAGTACTAGAATGCTTGCACAGGGGTTTGATCAAGACCAGAGTGTCCCTTCTTAACATCCTTTATCATTAATTATATCCCAAAAAAAAAAAAAGACCTCAAATCAGTGTATTCTTGTACAAAATTGCAAGATATAAATGTACAATTATTCGTGATATAGATTAAAAATAGCAATTTTAACAAGATTGGTATTGTTTAGGAATCTGAAATCTTCATTTTCGTTTCTGAGATTGTAACTATAGAGGCAGCTTAATCTATTTTTACAAGGATACTCAATATTCTGCACTGTTTGAAATACAAATGCACAAATATCAAATGTAGACGAAAAAAATAGAGCATAATGGAAATAGAAAAACCATTCCAATCTTCAATTCTGGCCAAAAAAAAATCACATACTCAGATTCAACATGAATAACAAATATTTCAATAGAATTAATAAAAATTCAACGAGAATAATATGGAGAAAATTTGTATAATATCACCATGACACCAGGAGCATGGGTCAGTTAAACATTTTTCTACCACTGTTTAAGTTGGTTTCAAGTTGCAACGCTCCTTTCTATACAACTTTTTTTAGCCAAAAGTATTTACACAAATTAAGTAGCCTAATAAAATAGGTTAATTCATGCAAAGATAGCTATAAATTAATTTATTTTTGTTAAAACATTTGCAATACATGCAACAAAAAAAATCTAATAAACAATAGATATCAGGAAAGCAGGATTTAACTTAGTGGATTTAAAGAATTTCATCAAATAAATTTAAAATTTAAATACAGACACTAACAATTTTAATTACATTTTTTTGTTAAAAAAATAAGCTTAATACCCAAATAAACCCTCAAATTTTACTTTAAAATATAAATAAACCCCCAACCTTTTATTACACGAAATTAAAATTAAAACTTTTATTTCATTGTAATTATATTCATTAAATCTTAAAATCGATTAATAGTGTTCAATTAACAAAATTTTAAAAATAACATTACTTCAAATATTTGTTATTCAGCTCATTCAAATAAATCTAAGCAATGGTTTTCTACAAATTAAATCATTAAACTAAAAAATTTTAACAAAAAATTAAATATTTCATATTGTCAAGGATCTAATTACAATAAAATATAAGTTTATGACCTTAATTTCATAGAATAAAAGATCACTGACTTATTTTTATTTTTAGTAAAGTTCGAGGACTTATTAAGGTATTATCCCAAAAGATATAATTAATACAAACATAAAAATACCTTGTTGCACTTGTGAGACATTTATATATAGAGACAAGCAGAAAACAATAAATAGCAGGATGTAAACGGAAGATAAGAGAATAGTCACACTAATGAAAGTTGGAAACATGCATCTCCGCCATGATAAACGCACGAGCGGCACCACGACCTCGCTTCCTATTGGGAGACAGGCCAAGCTGGCTTGCATCTGCATGCATGGTTCTATGTCAACGCCACTCGTGCACTACAAATCATATAACTTGGATAATTCAGCTTCGAGTTGGAAAGTTGGTGATGGGGAGACAGATCCAAAACATTGCTGCGATATTAGTGTTAACATGCTAATAAAAAAGCAACAGAAATTAAGAGGCAATCCGTAATGGCTACCTCTCTTTCAATAGCATTTCTCTTTTCTGGATTATATGATAACATTCTTGTTTGGATTTCATTTTACAAAAACAAATTTTTGACCCCACATTTCAGTTCATCATGTATATGCAAAATTCCAGTTGTCTAGAAACTAAACAAAAAGCATTAATTTTTTGACACTGACCAAAATATAAATGCCATTCACATGACAGATTCAAAATTTTCTATCAAATCATATATAATTTGCACTATTAAAAATTGTTATAGCTGTGTTTCTGTTAGTGGACAGTGGAATTATTGAGCTAATTTGTCCCCCTTCATTAAGAAAAAATATGCAGAATAGCGCAAGCTTTCTGAGCATGGCAACATGCGGAACATTATGTTGTATAATCATATTCAAGATGCTTTTGGGTTATAACTGTTGAAATAATTAAGTGATGAGTTGTTGTTGATGGTGGAGTGGAGACAGAAGGTAAACATTTCGGAGATAGTTGAGTAGATCGAAATCAAGTCCATGTTGCTTCTGATTGATAATTGAAGAGAATGAGATTCCTCTTGTCTCCCCTCAGTAACATATATTCAGCAGATGCCAAGGGAAAGACAGCAAATACTAGACTTAGTTGAACACACAATTTCAAGGCTTTTCTAAAACAAGAAAAAATGGCTACCTCTCCTTTGAAGACCCAACCTTCTCACCATTCTCGCTCCAACAGCTTGCCCTCAAGGCAACACCTCCTAACTTCACAAATCGATGAGAACCTGAGCCGATTGAGGGCATCAGAAGGAGCTTCTACATCATCATCAATAGGTCATAAATTGAATGGACTTCAAGATTTGCATGAATGTGTTGATATGTTGCTTCAACTGCCCCTCACTCAACAGTCTCTAGGCCAAGAACAACACCGAAAATGGGTTAAGCAACTATTGGATGGATCTCTTATGCTCTTGGATGTATGTAGCACTGCCAAGGATGCTTTGCTGCAAACAAAGGAGGGCCCACAAGAACTTCAATCTATTTTGCACAGAAGACGACGAGCTGAAATGGGGCTTGCAAATGAGGTTAAGAAATACTTAAACTCTAGGAAGGCAGTGAAGAAGGCAATCTGCAAGGCCTTAAAGAACCTGAAGCAAATGGAAACTAAATTTAACATATCTTCTTTCAGCAAGAGTGGTGAGAATGGAGCTGTGATTAGCATCTTAAGAGAAGTGGAAGCAGTTACAGTCGGAGTGCTAGAATCCGTATTGTCCTTTATCTCATGGCCAAATGCAGAATCAAAGTTGTGCCACTTGTCACTGATTTCAAAATTAATGCACCAAAAAAGAGTAGGATGTGTGAAGAAGAAAAAACAAATGAAATTGCAAATGCTGAAGCTACATTACGTTCCCTCATCAAATCTGACAACATCAAGCACGTTGAAAACGTGCAAAATGAGCTCCAAAAATCAGAGTTGTGCATTCAAGATCTTGAAGAAGGACATGAAATCCTCTTTAGGCGTCTGATCAAAGCTAGAGTTACTGTTCTCAACATCCTCTGTTAATCTTGAGATTCCAATTGCACATAAATTAAAACTACCTGTATACATTAAGCAATACAAAAGTTACATGATCATTTTTCCACAAATTTCTTCACTTTTATTACTTTTGGGATAAATTTTACTCATCTTTACCTGAAAGGTTTGGTGCTTATTTTTGCATTCATCAGGTTATAATTGCAACCGAAATCAAAATTTTGCTTCTAAATTTCGAAAAACTTTTGCGCAGTGTCAACCATTAAGCCTTTTGGATTAACATCTAGCTTTGGAAAGTCAACTTTCCTTGTCAACTTACAAGTTGAATAATAGAGCCCGCATTAACAAATTGCAGACACAGAAAATTTCTTGCATTCTGCAATTGGTAATCCAAGTATCTGACCTGTCACGATTCATCGTCTCTTTGGAGATGATTGAGAGTTTAAGTATAATTGAACTCGAGTCTTTGTTCAATTGATTCAAGCAGGACTCGTGAATAATATCCAACGAAATTATCCCCAAGCCGCGACTCATCTGTTATAAAAAAAAAAAAAAAAAAGCAAACATGGTTGAATGCTAAAAAGTGTGCTGGCTGTTTTTCTGTTCTTTTTAAATCGTTAATTGTTCACAAAACTTATTTTTTGTTCAGGAAAGGGGAGCCAATATCATCTAATCGGATCTTACTCACTTTTTGTTTAGCAATTATTTAAAAACCATTCAACATTCGATCTAATCATTCAACTCTGATTAGCAAAATAGAGCATCTAAACATGTGAATGAGGAACATATCAACGTGTTCCTGCACTCGTGCAAACATATAATTGTTTCATTTTTCTTATTTAGATGAAACCATGTTCACAGCTCTTGTTTATAGCCAAATTGGATGGTATCAACGTGTGCAAAGATACTCATAGTATTTATATTTTAACTTAATTGGACAGTGAGCTGGAGAGCTGATCCAGGGGAGACATTGCATAAACAGTGCCGACAGTGTTTAGATCGAGATCAAAATCGAGTCAAAAAATTAGCTGATAGAATAAGCATTTGAGATTCTTTTTGTCTCCATGACCTGATATATATTTGAGCTGATGCCTACTGCTGCATAACAAGTTGCTGGAAACATTCAACAATTAGGCCTTCTTTCCTCAAGAAGAAAAAATGGCTTCCCAAACTTTTCACCACACTCGCTGTAACAGCTTCCCCCTTCCATCTAGACCAAACCCATTTATTTCACAGATTGATGAGCATTTGAACAGATTCAGGGCTTCTGATGCCACATCTACCTCATCGTCATCAATAAGCCACAAACTAAATGGCTTTAAAGATTTGTACGATTGTGTTGACAAGTTGCTTCAGCTGCCTTCATCCCAGCAAGCTTTAGCCCAAGAACAACATAAGGAATGCGTTAATGAGTTGTTGGATGGCACTCTTAGGCTCCTAGAACTCTGCAGCACTGCTAAGGATGTTGTGCTGCAAACAAAAGAAATCTCAAATGAACTTCAATCAGTTTTGCGTAGAAGGAAGAGTGGCGAAATTGAGCTTGTAAGTGAGGTGAGGAAGTACATAACCTCCAGGAAAGTTGTCAAAAAGACCATCCACAAAGCATTGGGAAATTTGAAGGCCATACAAAGAAAACACGTTTTCTCTCCTTCAGAAGATCATGAGACAAAGGCCATTGTTAGCATTCTTCGGGAGGTTGAAGAAGTCACTTCTTCCATGTTTGAGCATTTGTTATCTCTGATCTCGAGGCCAGAGCCTGGAAGTTTGTCATTAGTTTCGAAACTATGGCATCACAAAAAAGTAGCATGTGAGGATGCAGGAAGAGAAGTAAATGAATTTGAAAAGGTTGATGCTGCTTTAAAATTCTTTGCGGGTCAGAAGAATAGCAAATCTGAGAACATCATGAGTGTTGAGATGAAAAACCTGCTAAAAGACTTGGAGCTGTTTATTCAAGATCTTGAAGATGGACTCGAGTGCCTCTTCAGGTGTATGATCAAAGCTAGAGTCTCCCTTCTCAACATCCTTACTCCATAGAAAACTTTGATTACCTTAATCAGTCAATCCTGTACACAAATGAAATTTACATATAAATGAAATACTCTTCCATACTACAACTATTTACTCTTTTGCACATACTATTATGACCATTGTATGCCTTATTTTTCTGTCAGTAGCAATTACTTTAACCTTCATTTAAGCAAAAAACAAAAAAAACCCTTGTAAATGAAATTGGACAAGGTCGTAATAAAGGAAAATATTGCTAAATAATTAAAAAAAGTGAACAAAATATAAAATAACAGCAATCGAAATGCTAAAAGGTTTCGGAGAAAATTAAGAAAGCTGAGTAACTCGGTGATAAGTTAAATTCGTTAGGTCAACCAAAAAGTTTATCTTTGGTTTTTGTTTTTACTTTCACCTTCCCAAGATGAGCTACCTCCAAGAGAGTTCTGAAAACAAGGGACAAAAGAAAGCAATTAGTGAAGTTTAAAGCTGTTAGGATTCCTTTTGTCTCAAAATTAAAGAATAATAAATTATCACTCTCCAAAACTTCAATGTCATTCACATGAATGCATGCACTAATTAAGCAATATAACAGGCTGAAATTTAAATATTATGTTTTAACCAACGAAAATTGGATGGCATTTCTTCAGTTTAGGCGGACAGATAAACATCTTGCAACATCAATCATTCAAGTGCAGCCATTTTTTATAATTTGGCAAGATGAAGTTGAGCTTGCAGATCTTGCCAGCCTCCTGTACGACAAGAAATTAAAGAAACTATTCAAAAACTTGATAAACTCAATCATGTTAATTGCATACACATGTTCATGCAAATAAAAATAATGAAACAATTATGACTAAATAAATTAGTTTCAGATGTGGGAGCGCTTGAGTGATGCAGACCCCTTGTCTCCAAATAATGGAGGTTATACATTAAATTATACGATTAGCAGACGATAATTAGTCCTAACAGGCAGAAGTGTACAGAAGAAAAAAAGAAAAAAAATAACCATTGTCTCTTGAAACAATTTTAAAAACGCTCGTGCATCGCCCCCTATATGGTATAGCCTTTTCTCAAGAATCAAGATATATTAGGAGTTTAATAATTAAAACAGTTATGTTAATGAGTTGTGGAGCTGGTTAGGAGGAGACATTACTTGAACCATGCTGAGATAATTGTTAAGATTGGTGTCAAGTCCATGTTACCTCTAACTGCAATTTGAAAGGATGAGATTCTTCATGTTCCCCCTATCACATAATATATGTTGGATAGATGAAGGGAAGAAAGCAAATTGCAAGAAGAAATAACGGCTGCCACTCCTTCAAACATCCAAACCTGTTACCATGATAGTTCTAATAGCTTGCCCTCTAGGTCATGCCCACTAAGTTCAGAAGTTGATGAACATTTGAGTAGATTGGCATCGTCTGAATCTGCATCTGCATCATCATCCTTAAACCACAAACTTGGCAGCCTTCAAGATTTACATGATTGCGTTGAAAAGCTGCTTCAACTGCCCCTCACACAACAAAGCTTAGCCCAAGAGCAGCAGAGGGAATATGTCGATGAGCTGTTGAAAGGATCTCTTGGGCTTTTGGATTGTGCACTACTGCCAAGGAGGCCCTATTGCAAGTAAAGTAATGCACACTTGAACTTCAATCGATCTTGCGCCGAAAGAGAGGTGCTACACCAGGGTTTGCTAATGAGGTTAGAAAATACTTGACCTCTAGGAAGGCAGCTAAAAAGGCAATCTTGAAGGCACTACAGAATTTGAAGCATAAGGTATATAAACAAAGCACTGTTTACAATGAGACTGGAGCCATGGTTAAGCCTCTCAAGGGAGGTGCAAGTGTCACGGTACTGGAGTGAAGTCAGGAATCTCATATTCGTTGAGTATTAAAGTTGATTTTTTGATATAAAAGTTTACACATTTCTCTCAATTGTGAGGCGTTTTTTGTAGGACAAAATCGTGAGACCAGAAGAGTCAGAACGGACAATACCTCACAAGTGTGTGAATAGTGATAGGTAGATAGATCTAAAATATCATATGAGTGCATGCTCGAGTCTTGGAGACGCACAAGCCTGGAGGTTAATTCTCGACCCGTGACAAGTGATATCAGAGCCAACATCCGACTAGCGCATGCTCGGATCCTGGAGTCGCATAAGCCTATAGGTTGAGTTCCGACTTGAGACAAGTGGTATCAAAGCTAGCTCCAAAGGTACTAGCGATGTGACACTAAGGATTGTGGGCCTCTATATCAAAGCCAATATCGGACAAGTGCATGCTCGGCTCCTGAAGCTGCACAAGCCTAAAGGTTGAGTCTTAACCCGTGACAAGTGGTATCAAAGTCAACTTTGAGGGTACTAGCGATGTGGCACCAAGTACGGTGGGCTTTTGTTAGAGTAGGGAAAGATGTCACGATCTTGGAGCAAACTCAAGAATCTCATATCGGTTGAGTATTAAAGTTGATCTTAAGATATAAGGATTCAGACATTCCTCTTCTTGTGAAGCGCCTTTTATAGGATAAAACCGTAAGGTTAAAAGGATAAGATTGGATAATACTTCACAACGGTGTGCATCGTGACAGGTAAGTTGATCTAAAATATCAAATGAGTATATGCTCGGATTTAGAAGTCATACGAGCCCAGAGGTTAAGTCTCAGCCTGTGACACAAGCAGTCACTCTCAATGTGCTAGAATCCTTTTGCACACAAAAAGAGTAGAAATCGAAAAAGAATAGCATATCAATGAAATGGCAATTGCTGAAGCTACATTGCTATCCTTTGCAACAAGAAAATCTGAGATCATGCAAATTGAGAATATTCAAAATGAACTGTATCATAACATATAGATTCGAAAATCTATAGCTAGATTTAACAAATAAATATAGTCACCACCAATCTTTTATTAGGTGTGATTGGTCACCTAAGAAATTTATCATTTTAAAGAACTCTTAAGCTTGACTAAGGGTCCCCAAAAGAATAGATTCGAGTCTATTAACCAGAACAAGGTTCAAGAGTTTGGGAAAGGTTATAGCACCCCCACATGTCAATCCAAGAGATTATACCATATTATTTCAAATTTATCATAAGGTTCGAAGTCTAATGGTTTCAAATATTGAAAATAATTTTTAAGATTCTTCATCAATTGTGTAGAACTCTTAAAAAATACTTCTTCACCTCAAAAGTATTCAAGAATCCCATTTGATTTCTTGAAGAGGCTCTGTCGTCGAAAAATGATTTATTTATTATTATTTATTATTATCAATTTTCGTCAAAAATAAATCTAATTATTCCACCATTTGAACCAAATTAGAAATATTTTTTCTTTTGAATTTCTAAAATTTTCACCATTTGGTCCTATTTAGAAAATTTTTTTTCTTAGAAAGAAAATAATATGACAATTATTTTTATTGAATTTTCATCTAAATTATTCCATCATTTGGGGTCAAATTTAGAGAAAATTTCTTATCTAGAGATTTATTAAAAATTTACTATTTGAAATTTCTAAGAATCTCATCTTTAGATAATTATTAAATATTTTCAATCCAAATTTTTATTTGAAAAAGAATACAATTATTTGTATTAAAATTTTATCTAAATCATTTCATCATTTGGGTCAAATTTAAAAAAAATTTTTCATTTAGAGATTTCTTAAAAATTTACTATTTAAAATTTTTAAGAATCTCATCGTTAGATAATTTGTATTTAATTTTAAAAATTTTATATTTTTATGTTTTTTATTATTTTTTTGAAAGAAATTTCCATATATATATATATATATATATATATACACACACGTGGACTAAAGAAATAAGAACTAAATAAAAACCACGAAAGAAAATACCAAAAACTTGGGTCAACCAACTTGAATTGAATCCGTTTAGCTTTGGCGAAATTCTTGATTTGATTTAATTCAAAGCTTGAGCCTAGTCAACTTTTAGCATGGATTACTTGGACTATTGTTGTCAGTTTGGGTCCCACATCTGTTGGCATGAGTATCTCCAACCAATCACGTCAACCATTCTTCCTCTCTTTTATTAAAATTTTCTACTTTCCCCATCGTACCTCTAAAAGAAAACTTGAATGCCTAATTTTCTTTGTTTTGCAAAACAAACCAGCAGCTCCTTTTTAAAGCAAATCAAATCGTCTCTCACTCTCAAACCACAGTTGCTATGCTCACCATTGATAGCACTATAAACTCAAAGTACGCCACCTCTTCAATCTCCGTTTTCTATCGCCAGAAGCCTAAAAAAATACTAAGAAATTCTTCGGATTTCCTCCACCATTTTAAAGCTCCAAAATCGGAATCCTTGGAACTATTTTCTCTGTTTGCTTATTCTCTCTGTGAATTGTGCTTGCAAAATCAATAGAAGACTCCGAAGCAAGTTTTTTTTTTTTTTTCTGGTCTCACTTGTCTCGGAAACCTAGCCCCAAGAACTCCCTAAAATTGGACCCTCGGACCCTGTTTTGCTTCTTCACTCATTATACTCTTTTCCTCCTTCCTCTCTCTTTTGTGTCTATACGAATATTTATAAGATCAAAGCCATAATCCAAACAGAAATTCCAATTTAGCTCAAATTCAACCACATAATTCCAATCAAACTCAATTTCTTATTTTCTCGTTTTTTCAGTTTTTTTCATTTTTGTTTATTTTTTATTAAAAAAAATCAAATTAGACTCCGGACAGATTGGGGTGTCTTAGAGAGTAACATTAAAGAGTGGAGCGAGCCAATTGGCATTTGTGCAGTTGCAAATTCTGGAACATCCTTGCTGACAAGTCCAATGACTGCGATTTCCACGATAGTCGAGCAATTGCCATCTTTGGAGTGGTTAGTCAGGAAGGTAAGGCAGGAATCCAACAACACGGTCAGACCATCATTGAATTACTTATAGCTAAGGCACAACCTCAGAAAATCTACTTACAAATTGGATTGTGCACTTTTAACGGTGCTCATAGGGTTAACTTGAGAATTGAGAGTGTCAAGAATGAGAGCAACTGGAAATTATCTGGAATTCTTCATGATGTTATGTGTTCTGCTTGTGAAATGGAAGTTGTGGAAATGCAAAATCAATCAAGGAGGAATTAGACTCAATACTACATAGTAAACTATGTCGAGCAACTTTGTGACCAGCCACATGGGTGAATTTGCTATTAACTGTGGAAGTCTCTATTCTTTGCCTACTGTTTCCGTAACTATTGGTGGCCAAGTTTTTTATCTTGTCCCAGAAGAGTATATCCTTAGGGTGGATGAAGGTCCTGAAGTCCAGTTCTGCGTTAACTACAGTAGCATAGTGGAACAAGTTATTGATGCAGTCATGAATGATCAAAACAGGAAGCTTGAGACCATTCCTAGGCCGTATTCTACTGGATGGAAAGGATGGGATGAGAACATACTTGATTGGTGTAATTCTACGCAGCTTTGGTGGGGTCGCCACATTCCTGCATGGTGTGTTACATTGCAAGATGATGAAATGAAGGAACTTGGTGCTAATAATGATCATTGCATAGTTGCCAGGAATGAGGAACAGGATATAGCAGAAGCTAAGAAGAAATTTTTTGAAAAACAGGATGGCAACAAGTATACTTTGGTCTATGGTATAATGAATGAGGCCACTAAAGCTAATGCTTATTTCGACCTTACAAGTTTCTGCAATTCATCCTTGAGGACAAGGATGTTTTCCAATGAGGGAGTATTGTTATGTGCCCAATTAATTAATATATAAGACCTGTGTTTTGGATGGGTTTGTTTTACTTTTATTTGTTTGTACGGCCTATATTTTGACAAGGCCCTTTATATTTTACCATTGCTGGAAGTGAAATGGAGGTAATGCTATGTGATTCAAAGTTCTTGGAAGGAGTTGTGATAGTCTGCTAAACCAGTTAAAAATGAAAGGAAAGGGTATCATAAAAGCATTATGTTAAGAAATATAATTTTCAATTTTTTTAACACTATGTTTAGATAGATATTAATAAAAAAAAAAAAAAAAAGAAGAAAATGTTTTAAAGGAAAGAAAAACGTGCATGTTCTTCTTATTTGAATAGTTAAAATTAATAAAAAAAAGGAAATGAAATAAATTTTAATAACCATGGATAAATAGTACAAAAAAATTTTATTATAATTTTTTTTCAATTATAATCTTTTTTTTTATAAAGTAACGTATAATATATAAATATATCTTTATATTACTTAACTTATATAAACAAAATTTTTTAAATAAAATTGAGTATATTTAATACAATAAAATGTATTAACTAATTATTGATTTATTTTTAATTTTATATTTAATTCAATATTTTAATTTAATTTGACAATAATTTGACTTATTTTATTATTAAAGCTTAAAAAATTATAAAATATTTATAAATTATAATATTATATAAAATACACATTAAAAAATTATTTTTATAAGAAAGATTAATTATATAATCCAATATAATGTCATAATAAAAATATAAATTATATAATAAAAATAAAATTTTTTTAATTTTTATTCCTTTAACTTTTCCTCCAAATTAATATATTAAAAAAATAAGAATTACAAGAGAAACTAAAAATTATTAAGTTTTTTTTTTCTTTCAATTAAAAATTTATCCAAAATAAAAAAAAAATTTCCTTTATTTTTTTACTTTCCTTTCCTTCCCCTAAATCCAAACATAATTTTCTTCTTCTATTCTAGTACTTCTTCTATTCTCTGTTGTTCTTCTTATTTTCTAAAAACCTTAGCTAACTTCTCGAAGGCATGCATCAAAAAATAAAAAAAATATACCTTTTAGCACACATTCTCAATTCTTTTCTTTACATCGCATTGTCAGATACAAAACCAAAAAATTAGGGTTCTGAAAAAGATAAAACGAAAAAGTTGAATCAATCAAAGAAAACCTAAAGCAGCCTAAACCCTTATCGTGCAAATTCTCTATTCTTTTCTTTCCATCGCATTGTCTTATACGAGCGAAATTAGGGTTCTGCAAAAGATAAAAAGAAATAGTTGAATCAAGAACCAATGAGTTTATAAAAGTTTGGAAGAAATTCAAGGAAGAAACTAGAAGTCGAGGATGAAGAAGAAAATAAAGAAGGAAACGTTGAAAACCCCTAAGTCGAAACCGATTCACCGCCATTAAAATTAACGGTCGGGACGAACAATTTATACTATTTGGAGGATTTGGTTGCTTAGAAATCACGCTATTTTAAGGCGGTGGAGACCCGCACTATCGGTCGTCCGAGATTGAGATCTACGGTTCTTATTCGAAACAAGCTTCCCAATCACGTTTCTAAATGCCAAAAAAAAGGGTTACAACTTTGACTAAAATATTGGGCTTGTTAAGCCCAATTTTAGCCCTTTAAAAGCCCACATTACCCTAATCTCTAGTTGGAAGTTTTGATTTTCTGTCATGATCTTTATATTTGATTGAGTGGACCCTTAACCAAGTCAACGACCATCACGCAATCGCAGCAAATATCTGTCCCTGTCATGTCCCACTGAACCAATTGCGCCCATCATTCTTGCTTTCCCCTTTCTTTGGGGTTTCGGGACTGAATTGAAAGACAATCTTACAGAAAGCTGGCCCATTAACTAATATCCCACATGATCCGAGTTATAGTAAGTTAGATCAAAGTTATATTCTTTTGATTGGCATCAATTTTCCATTAAAACAAACCTCCAAGCTGTATTATGCCAATTAGATGTATTTTTCATTAACAGAGCCAGCAAAGTCTTCAAAAGCTTGAAGCTGTACAAACATTGATCATTCTCTTAGTCTGGTCAGATTTTTTTTTTTATAGATGAAATTATTAAAATTTGAATTCTAATTTTTTAAATTATCGGTCTATCACTTTATTAATAAATCACATTCCTGTCAAAAGTAATAAATTTAAAGTGCCACAGGGAGGGATCTCATAGTAGGATATGGTAGATAAATAAAGCTTATATACAACATCAAAGTCTAAGTTAAGCTTTGCACAATAATTTAGGCACTAGAAATTCAAGATGTTGGCAAACGGTGTGACGTTTTGAAACAAAGGACTGTTGAGTTGAGTCCAAAATTGATCATGGGTCCAGTCACTGAGCATTTTGGGTGGTTGAAGCTCTGGCAATTTTTCCTCGCCTAATGGTAATTTTAGAGACGCTGAAGAAATTTTGTTCTCTTTTACCATTGCTTCTTCTTCTTCATCTTCTTCAATTTCTTTCTTGAAGACCACTTGGGGTACAGAAATCGATGGCAGCAAATCTTTTTTTGGGCTGCAGAAAGAGATGGTCTCTAAGGATGACAGCGGAGATGAAGGAGATGTTTTCATCGTCTTCAGCTCTTCTTCAAGAGCTGCCCTTTGCTCCAGGACTTTCAGGGAAGTTGCCTTCCTATATATCTTGCACAAAACTATGTCCTGCATTTAATCATAAAAAAATAAAATTAGACAAAATTGTATCTGTACACTTCGGAGGCTATGTCCGATAAAATGAGAATGACATTACCATTAATTAAGAAAGTACTAAAGTCAAAAGTCCAAGTCATAAAACGCTACCTTAGGCAAGGAGCAACCATCTGGGAGACGATACTCATTCATGACCCAATCAGTCCTGCTGCCTCGTGGGGCTCTTCCCACATAGAAAACAAGAGTTTTTTTCAGGCCAATTATCCGTTTTGGATCTGATAAGCTCACAATTTTCCTGTCAGAACCGGTGGCTTTCCAGAATCCAGTTTCAGTAGTCCTGTTAGGCCTCCCTCCACTGCCGTGCTTCCTGTCTCTAGGCACAAAAAAATACCATTCCCTCTCTCCAATCTTTGACAATCCTATAAAACATCAATAAACAAAAACATATCTTAAGCATAACCAATCCTATTTGCTTACATATACAGTTAAACAAACAAAACAAATCATATTTACCAGGCAAGTCCCAGGGATCATGGTGATAGATGTTGAGAAATCCAATTATATCATAACACAACTTCTTGCCATAAATCATGTTTCTGAGGTAAAAATTAAGGAGTTCTTCCTCGGTTGGATGGAATCGGAAGCCTGGAAGTTCAATCTCTGGGGTGGTATCATCCATATTGGATCGGCAGCTCATAGTGGAATCAGTCACTATACTCGATACTGCTACAGTTATTTTTCTGGGCTTCAGCTTTGGTTTAAGATATATTATAAGTAGGAGAATTGAGACAGAAAATGAAAAAATGTTGCTGCATGCAATGACACAGTTCGGCAGTTATTTATAAGGATAGTGGTAGATAAATGTTGCTGATTTATAAATGTTTAAAAGACCAAGTCGTCACAAAAATTGTGTGGGGGCAACAAAGTCTTGGAAAATTTAGAAGTGTATGCAAGAAAGGGGAACTGGGGCTTAAGGTATTTCATCAATGGTGGAACCCACACGCTTAAACACATTAAAGTCAACAGTGACTTGAAGCTGCGTGACGTGGATGGGCTGATTTGTCAGTTCTTTACTTGACCTCCTTTTCTTGTGTTTGTGGACTTTTACTTGGAAATTCCAGGGCATAGAGAGGTTTTTCCAAGTAAATATCTGCCACATAATTTGATATTTGAACAATGAGCTGAGATTGCTGATTCGTGCTTCGAATAGAAACCAAGACTCAGTTGGTCTTTTAGCCTTTTCATGCTTGTGATAGGGAGCTTCATTTGAATTGGTCATAATAACTGCTAATTAATTTCTCTGTGCTGCCATACTATTTAGTACTATTTATAATATGCATTATTAACAGTATAAATTAATCGGGAATATAAATTTTTTTCTTATTTTATGATCTAATTATTTAATTAATAAATATTTAAATATTATTCATAATTATTTATTAAATTTAATAAATGAGCATAAATTAATGTTGCTTATGAACCATATTTTTAAATACTATTTATGAATTATTCATTAAAAGTTATATTCATTTACATACATCTAATGAAATATGAACAAATCAATTTGTTAATGTTCATGATCATTCATTTAATTAATAAATCATAAAATATTATTTTATGATTCATGATCAAATATAGTTATATCTTACCCATCTTTATAATTTTTTTTTCAAATAAAAATATTGTTAATTATGAGATACCCATTAAACTTAATAATCTAAAATATAATATAATGATAAAAGACGAATACGTTATTAATAAAAGATATAAAAATAATATAATTTAAATTTTTAATAATTATTATATATTAATTTAATAAAATAAAAAATATATTTTATATTTTTATATTCACATAAATTATGACATATAATTTTTATATAAAATAATATATAAATTATAAATTTTAATATTTTATATTATACAAATGTATAAATTCGTTATAAGTGTAATTTATTAAATTGCTACAGAAAATATGTGTTATCATGATTATCGAAAATAATTACTAAACTGTTGACTTTGTTGACTGCACCCGATTAGAAAATGAAATGAATCATTGAGAAGGATCGTCGGAATAAATAAGCCAATAAATCACTATGAATTAATTAATTAATTAATTAATGCTTTACGAAATGTTGTAGTAGCATGTTTCTTTATATTAGTGGTGGGTCAAAAATTTCTTTATATTAAAAAATATCTATATATAAATTCCACTGCTTAGTGAAAAAGAAAGACAAAAGTTTGTTTTAAGTCGTCAATTCAAAAGCAACAACGCGTTTTTATCACATTGTCTAATGTATATTATTTTATTGGTTAATATTTTATTTGATATTTTAAATTATTTTAATTATTTAAAATCTCATTATAATAAGAGAAAGGACTTTCGTGGCTTTGATAGGTGCTTTGACTTGGAAGTCTTTGGCCATCAAGACCCTTATTAGTCTCTTTCTGTCTTGGGTAAACGATTAGAAACGTTCAAAATTCAATTTTAATTGAATTGATTTTATTTGTTTAATTAATTAATTAATTTAAATTAATTATTAAAAATAAATTTTTTAAAAATAATTTTTAATTAATTTAATTTAAAATTTAAATTAATTTAAATTTTAATTGAAATATAATAAAACTTATATTAATTTACTTCAAAATTAATCAAATCGATCAAATGAATATTTTTAATAATGATGATAGTATAGTTTTTATTTTTATTTTTTGCATATGAAATGATAATAAAATTTTTTTATCAATTAACATTTAATAAAATCATGAATCTATCAAAATAGTATAAGTGAGTGCATTTTTAAATATTAAAAAAATTCAAATAAAATATAAAAAACCCTGACAGACATCGTACTATTAACTGATGATATTGACAGAGTCTTTGCTTTGGTTAATACAAAGATTTAATAGTAATTTATTCAAGAGCCTTCATTCTTCTTTTAACTATAATAAGCAAATTCAAAGGATGGGGAGGTTTGATGATGAGACAAAACTATTCAAGAAACAAAGGTAGCTTTCGCTACAATTTCGTAGAAATTTCTAAAGTTTTGGCGACGATCAATTTCATTTTTCACGTAGAAAAGGTTCACTGATTGGTACCCAAAAACACGGCTTCACTTTTCAACAGCTACCACATGCAAATCCAGTTTAATAATAATATTATTATTGTTGGTTATAAATTAACAAGAAAATTTTGTTAGTCTCATTTCATCATCTCTATTTTTTCTTTAAAATTGAGACAATTAATTAGAAAAGAAAAAGAATGGATTAATATTTATATAATGATATTAAAAATTTTAAATTATTAAACATTTAATTTAAAATTAATTAACTATAAATAAAGAGATTTAACCTAAATAATGGAGTACATAAAATTATATACTTATTAGATATAAGATAATATCATTTTAATAGATCTTCATATCACATAACAGATTTAAAAAGAACAATAAAAAAAAAATTTGTTTCTGATACTATATTTCACAGTAAACTTAAAATTAATTAATTGTAAGTAAAGAGAATAAATCTGAATATAAAATTATAAAAAATTATATATTTATTAGATTTGGAACAATACTATTTTAATATAAATTTCATAAATTATGTTGGAATATTATCAAATATTTTTTTATTTATTATATGAATTTATTATATTTCTAACAATTTTAGTAAGGGAGTTTTAAATATACATTATCATATAATATGATATATCATGTGTACAAAAAAATAATTACAATATATATTTTCTACCATCAAATACAATAAAATGACTTTGCTGCTAAGTATTTGACTTTGTATGTTATTGATTTTCGATTTTTTATTTTTTTTTTAAATTACGAAATACGATTTGAATTGGAAACTTAATTTTGAAGTCAGATTTTAGCAGGGCTGAACTCAAAATTTTTATTTTTAAGAAACTTACTTCGGTTAAGGAATAGGCTCTAGGCCCATTTTTTCCTAAAGGAAAGTAATGGTAAAGCTGGATGAACATGCCCAATGACAAAGAATAGGTAATACACAAGAAAATTCTGAACCCAAAATGAAGCCCAATTTACAATAAGTAGCGGCAGGAAATGGCATTGCTCGAATATAACTTACTTCGAAGCCCTGTGCAGCAAGCTGAAGGGAATTATTACTAGAAAGGGGCGATGACGATGACAATCGGATTTTACTTGGTTTGATTTTTTAAAATATTATATAATTTATAAAATTTTAAATTTTAATTTAATTTAAATTTGAAGTTAAATTTTTATTTAATTTGAATAAAATTTTATTGATTCGATTCAATTTTATTTTTTAAATTTTTATGTATTATTTAAATATATTTAAGTAGATTTTGATATAAAATTATTATTTTTATTTTATTAAAATTTTAAAAAATATATAAATTAAATATATATAATTCGATTCAATTTAATTTTTTTTAATTTTTAAATTTTTAATTTAAAATTTGATCTGAACTTAATATATAAATTTAATAACTTAACTCAATCTGAATCAAATAAAAAAATCAATATAAAATCAAACATTATAATTTCGAATAAAATTTTGGTTTTTTTCAGTTTTTTTTCCTCGAACAGATGTTAACAATAAAGCATTGGTCCAATCGGTAAGTTTGGGGTAAGTTCAGTTATCTTGACGTAAGTGATTGATCTAGACCTCAAGGTGGTGAGTTTGATTGTTGACAAATTGCTTGCTGTTCAAACAAGTAGAGAGTTTGAATTGAACCAAACTGAATACTGATAGTCTGCTAAAAAGACCAGGTGTACGGTTGAAACAGAAGGGAGGAGACACAAGATAAGAGGAAATGTAAAATGTCTAGGTAAGGTTGTGATGGTGGGTTTGGTAGGGATTAGAAGAAGTAGAATTATAGCGTAGGCCTTGTCTGTCATTCACATCAGCATCAGCTACATTCTTCATTCAACCTGACATTGAGACATTTGCTCCCAAACTATTTGAGCATCAGCTGTTTTGGGTGGTTAGGGGCTCTCACTGTTTAATTGCTCCCAAACTATTTGAGCATCAGCATCAGCACCAGCATCAGCCCAGCTCCCCCCACCCCACCTTGACCATGTAGGTTTTAAGTGGGACTTCGGCCTTTTTTCTGTTCCATCCTTTGGGGTTTGGTTGTTTTTTGACAACAATAGTGACAAACAATAGTCTGATCTTGTTGCAGACAAGATTTGTACCAAACTTATTATTGACAGGCATTTCATTGTTTTCCAATTTTCAGAAATTTACAAATACTGGGTTCTTGTTTCACTATTTCTATGAAATGAGAAAGCATGGTCCCCACGTTTCAGTTGGAGCAACCATTCCGGCCTTCAAGTTGATGAACAACAGCTATCACAGTGTTCCTTTGGACAAGCTTTTAAGGGCTGCCACCACTCTTGTATCATCATTGCCTTTGCCGAAGTTGAAGGACCAGAACAGCACAAAAGCAAAAAACTCCACAACCAAAACCGGTCCCCAACTGCCTGTCACATTGCCCCATAACCTGAACCTGATAATAACATGCTTCGTTGGACAACCAATGCCCTAATGCTTTTGTACTGTTTTCTTGCCTGGACTAGGCAGAAAGGATGTTGCCCTTCATCTCAGTGCCAAGTAGCCCTTCTGCCCCACAAAGGACCATTACCTATTTTCATATTATTTTGTGTATAACCCTATTAATTCCGAATAAGTCCTAGCCACTTAGTTGTTAGGTCCCATATATATGGAGTGAACACATTTCCCATTTAGTTCAATCTCCATTTTATTTAACTTTTTTGATATGCTTTTAGAATGGAAAAAGTGGTTAACAAAATTATTAAGGGTTCATTTGATGCTATGATGGAATGAATTTTACCGTATCAAAAGTACGTTTAATGATTGGATTTTAAACGTTTGTAAAGACAAGAAAAGCCAATAGCAGCCATGGTATGAAAAGAAAGTTAGGTTTATGTTAGGCTCAGATTATGAGTTTATCTAAAAGCTTGGCATCTTTTATCAGATTATTATTGAAGAAACAAGGTTGCGTATGAGGGCCAAAGAACAATTTTTGACCCTCCAATGATTAATTGGCTTTGATTAATTACAAATAAAGCTGTTCCTTCTGGAATAGCTTTACTTGATTCCAACTTTGATTAACCAATTTCTATAATAAACAAACAAATAAACTAATGCCACCACCTACATGAACCTAAATTTTCTCCTAGAATGGTGAAATCACAAGGAAAAAAGCTTCTACAGTTCAATTCTCCCGTCAAAAAGAACAGGAGCTGACTGACTTCTCCATTAAAAAAGAAAAGATATAAAGAAAAAGCAACCACCAATTACATTACAAGCAATATACCTGAGAATTTTTGTGAGCCTTTTTGTTGAAACTATGCATATAAAATAATACAGGGAAACGTGGATCTAATTGATTCTTAAATTTGGAGGATAAGTGCTGCTATTCATTGAAATGCATGTAAGTGCAACTATTACATGGTAAAAATATATAGAAACCTATCACACCAGAAAGAAATATATGAAACTTTCCATTTACGTTTTGGCATAGTCACATCCATGCCAATGACCAGAAAACTCTTCTCATTCGCAACATTTGTCAATGTTTTTATCTTCTTGTTCTGCAAATGTATTGAAAATATATGCATATTACATTAGAAAGAAGGCAAGTCAATTTGACATAACATGGAAAGAAGTTTGGTTTTCTAATTTTGCAACAGCAAAAGCTAGCTTGGTGGCTTGGTAAGTGATCATGTGCAGCCCTTTTTTCCTAACTTTATTTTTCAAAACATCATTGTCTCCATCTCTCTCTCTCTCTCTCTCTTATTTTACAGCAGTAGAAAACAAAACAGGCTCCAGTGTCCTGTGTCCAGCTACAGTTCAAAATCCCCGGTCCCTGCAAATGAGCTGGAGACTGTAGCAGTAATGTACACATCCACAATTGCAACTTTTAAGGTCATCAAATGATGAAAATGCATTAATCATCACTCGCCATAACAGTACCTTAAAAACTGGCAGAACAAAAAGAGACGAAGCTGTAAAACTATCAGCAAAGTAATGCATGCTCTTGTTAATGCCTTCATGGAAATACATACATAATAAAGCTGCTATTTTTTGGATCTTGCTTCTTGTTCTTTCTATAATATTTGTACATACTTCTAGATACCAAATTACAAGCTTAAATGCCCAAGTAATAATAAGATTAGCTTCCCTCTTTTAATACCAAATAGACCCACTTTTGTCACTATCTTCTCTTTTATCTTCTTGTCATTCAAACCTTACCAGATCATTATGGTATGGTTGGTATATGACCCAAAAATGAGAGTAAAAAGCTAGGAGCCTAAAACACCCTTTTTCCCTACTTTTTTTTTTCTATCTTTTCCATTTTCATGTCTCTCCTTTATAGAGCGATCTGAGTCTGCAAAGTAGTGGCATTAAACCCCACCTGTTGTGGGCCTTGTTGCTGTTGCTCAACCTCCCAGCTTGCCTTGGCTATGACTCCATCATGCACAGGCACGTAATCCTGATAAAAACAAAACAGTGCCATCATTTACAAGCAAACAGGACAGTAGAAAACAAGACACCGAGATAGTAATCTGAGAAAGATTCCTTTTCCAATCCTCCAGATTGTCTATTCCATATATGAACCTCACATCGTTAGTGCGTAAACAAACGTTTGACGACAAAAATGAATCAATCCCAGTTATAGGCAATAACCCACCTCAAGCTTCTGAACCAGTTCTTTGGCATTTGGTGCAGAGACAATGATGTGCCGTTGGGAAGGTCTGATAAAGCCATCATCCACGGCTTTGTCGATGAAAGTTAGCAAGTAATTATAATAGCCATCAACATTAAGCAAACCCACCTGCACATTTTGGGAAACAAAAGTTAGGTTTCAAAAAAGAGGACCCAGAAAACTGTTTTTCTCGATATTGGAAACAAAAATATTATGCAAATATTGCTTACAGGCTTGTCATGGATGCCCAGCTGAGCCCAAGTTATCACTTCCATTAACTCCTCCAAAGTTCCGTACCCACCTGAAACCAAACAAGGGAGCAAAATTAGCACTCTATGGATATATTTTGGAACAGAAAGGGGAAAGAGAGAGATGGGACCTGGTAGGGCAATAAAACAATCAGAGTGGCGGGCCATTTCTGCCTTTCTTTGGTGCATGTCGGCTACTGGCCTTACTTCCCCAACCGTTTCCCCAGTTATCTGTTGCTCCACATCCAAGAGACATTCTCAAAACATCATTGAAAAGCTAGATACTTAAATCTAAAATAGAGATGAAAAAGGCTAAAATTTTGAAACCAAGACTGGTGAAAACAAAAGAATTCCATTTGCACCTCTTTGCTCATCAGAGTTCTAGGAATGATCCTGTAAACAGAAACAAAACAAAATTTGATAGTCAATAACGGGAACACATGATAACCAGAAAAATGAAAACCATTTGCCAAAACCAAGAAACTGAATAGTATAGCTTGATTATAACTCATGAGTGTACCCAAGAACATTCCCTCCAGCATGGTGAACAGTTTGTGAAACCAAACCCATCAACCCAATACTCCCTCCTCCATAAACAAGGTCCAATCTTCTCGCCACCTTTCAAAATCAACAAAAAAAACCTTATACTAACAAAAAAAAAAGATATCGGCTTTAGAGAGTCAAGTGGGAGATTTTTTAGTGTACCAATTCTTGGGCTAATTCAACTGCAGCATCTCTGTAACATTTCCTCTTACCAGTACTGCTTCCACAAAACACACATACCCTCTTGAATCTTGATTCCACAACTTTCCCTTCCATATCCATTTCCAAAGATTCTTGTCAAGTTTCTTCGTTTGCTTACTCGTAAACAAAAGTGGGATCAGAAAGGAGGAGAAATTTGTTAGAGACAAGCACGCTCCCTTGCTTCACTTTGTACAAAGTCGAATGAAACAGGCCCCTATTTATAGGCTCCCAACCCCAAGTCCCACCAAAGATTATTGATTCTTATTGTTAAAATATATTTTTTTCAATAAATTTTTGTTTTGCTGCATGAAACAAAAAGAAAACCCTTACTAATTAAAAAATAAAATAATGGAAAAAGATTAAGTGAAGACAAAAAAGCAAGAGGGCCACGGACAGAATAGGTAGTCAGTCAGGTTCATGCAATAACCATTGTAACCAACATCAAAACCACGTGTCTCAATATGATGCGATAAACATGAAGAGTTCGTGCAATACTGTAAGAAGATTCTTATCCACTAGGATATTGGAACATGATTCTAGTAAATATTTCAAAGAATTCATTTTCCACTTCTAATTAATAAATTTAATTATAAAAAAGAGAGAAAAAGGTTTGTGGATCAAGAATCAGTCTTGGAGAGAATAAGCGTGAGGGTTATGGCATGTTCGATCATCATAAATCATTCACCAGAGATTGTTATGATTTGTATATGTGTTTGCAGCCATGGTTTTTCATTTCCAAAAAGACAAAAGGCCGATTTTGCTGCTACCAGCATTTAATTTTTTCAACACACTAAAGCAAAATCAATGATCTCCCTTGCAAGTAAGCACTCTTTCAGGATAAAAGGTTCAGGGCTTCAGGCATTTCCCTCAAAGCTGTATTATCAAAAGCAGCTTCCATTACCCAAGTAATGTAAAAGACCTCTTTCATAAAAAAAATGGTTACCATCTACAAATTCTTCTTACACAAAAATGAACTTGTAAAAAAAAAGTTAAATATCAACAGAGAGTTGGCATTAAATTGGGTTGTAAGGGTTACATCATCCTTAATCACCATAATGATTTACTACTTTGATCATGTGGAAATTGGAATGGAAGCTATTGCTCACTTAACATCTGTTGGTTACTTGGTTATTTACCATTTGTCAGTACAGTTTATTAATTGTTGGTTAATAAAGTTTCTTACCCTTTCGTTTTAAATTGCCGTATGAGTATGACAAATCAAAGATTTGACTCCACAACACAGATTTGCCGTTTCATTATCAACCACAGTTTTGGCCCCTTCCCATATTTGTCAGCTTCGACTTTACACTCACTACTCAACTAATTAAGTTATCTATCCCCAACAACCACTACAGTTTTGTTACTTATCTACAGAGGTAACCAGCCAGTCCAGGGCCCCACGAACTAGAGTGACGGGTGCCGGACAAAGACAAACCCTGGTCCCTTTTCATTAACCTGGTTCTGTAGTAGACATGCATGTGGTTTGGAACATGGAAGTCCGAAATGTTAGACTAGTAGAAAAGAACTAAAAGAAGTTGCAATCAAATTCTCGTTATTTCTATTGTTGGGAAATTGGTAATTGAAAGAATCCTCCCAATCCCTGATGGTGGGGTCATGGGGGGGGGGGGGGGGAGGGTGATAGCAGCCTCAAATTTGCAGGTAAAACTCACACGGCATTGCAGTTGTTGAAGGAAGGAATTCGCCAACTGGGTGGATGGGAAAAATTGGGACCCAGTTGGCGTTGGAAAGGAGAGTGTTGGTCTGAGTCCTGAGAGTAGGGGCATTCATTTTCAAGTAGGCTATGGCTAATATTAGGCTCCTTGCATTGCTAGGCGCTTAGCCATTGCTCATCAGGCCTCTTCTCTTCTCAACCCCCTCATCTAGCACGTTCCTATTTAATGCTTCTGACATTTTCTTCTGCAACCTTAATTACGAGTGTTTTAGCCGCGTGTCATCAGAGACATGACATCCACTTGCTCCACAAATCTCATGAGCTTCTTCTTCCCTATTGTTGGCATAATCGTATATTATTACATTTATTTTTTTATTTTTGTCATTTCATTCGTCCTTCCTTTACTATTATTGGCATAATAAGAGCTAGGCACAAGAAAATGAAACCAAATTCAAATCAAATGATGATATCCCTAAGAAGTGGTCTTGATATATAATTTCTACCCATGTTAATTCTTCTCACATGAAACTATAAACACTGCAAGAAATATCATTGGTCTATATCAGAATCATAATAGTGTCACATGTTACCTGAGCAATTATTCTGTTTCATCTTTCTTAAGTACTGAAGAGCATGTGAGAAGACAGTGAAAAAAGACAAACTCAAGAACTAAGATTTGCTGGATTTGCATGTTTCATGTCTACTCAAGTTTTGTTAGAATTAAACGTGGTTTAAGATTCTGTCCAAAGTTAAAAGGGTGTAAAAATGGAGGTCATGAAAGCCAAGGCAATCAAAACGACGAGACCATCGTATAGTGAAAGATGTAAATGCAAAAACAGTAGTTAAAATCAATGGCAGCGGCGCAATGATTGTTCTGCGCCGTCTCTATTTTGCATATTTACTTTTATCCCCTGGGGTTGTTGAATTTAATGGCCTCCTCCTCTTCTCTTCTCGGCTTCGGCAAAATTTTGCCAAGCAAGGAGCTTTGGCACTCAGGGGCCATGGCCCGTCTTCTCTTGGGTTGGGATCATTTTTTTATTCTCAATTTTTTTAATAAAAAATTAAAAATTAATACTACAAATCAATTTGGATAATTGAAAAGCTATTTTGAAATAAATTTAAAAAAAAAAAATTGACTTAATTGATTTATATAATTATTTTTTAAAAATATTATATAATAATTTTAAATTTTAAATTTTAATATTAATAATTTTTTCTTCTATCCCCAACTTCTTTTAGAAAAAAAAAAAACCCCAAGAATTAAAATGTATTTGATTAACCCATAAAATGATTGTGAAAATGATACTTGAGTCTATGGGTACTAATTAAAATTATAAAATAATAATGTAGCTTATTGACTGAGAGTCAACAATATTCTAAAGTAATTGCCTACCCTCTCCAATTGGTCTCATGATTACCTACCTTCAGCTTGTAAAAATAACTACTATATATATATATATATATATTTATGAAAAAGCGACTTCTCGCAAAAATTATTATATTTTATGAAATTATTAATACAAATTAAAATTATAAATCAAATTAATAAACCAAATAACAAATCTATAGTAAAATTACACCAAATTCACTCAATATTTTTAATAAGAAAAAGTTTAAAAGGATGGACTGTCATGATCTACATGTTGGTGGTGGAAGCTATTTCTCTTTATATTTATTTATTTATTTATTAGTCACACTATATCCAAGTGGACGATTCAAAGTTAGGCAATGTTCCTGTAAATAAGTTGGTACTCCATGCTTGTTGTTCTAAGTTTGTTGGGGTTGTAAGACTCATTGCAAGCAACCTTTTGCATAAACACAAGTATAATTTTATTGGGTTTGATCAAAATTTAGTTAAGCTCGACTCAAATTCATCACAAGTGTATTATATATATGGTCACATATCAATTTGATTGTGTCACTAGAGAATAATTTAGATAAAAATTTTAAGTGAAATTTGTAAAATTTTTATTAAAAATTATTTAACAAAAAATTTAAACTGATATATTAATAAAATTTAATAAAAAATCAATAATATATAAAAGAATTATTGAAAATGCAGTTTATAATTAAAATTTGTTGAGTGCTTATTGAATGGTAAAATTTTATCAAAATTTTTACTAAAAATTACTTATTTAAAAAATATATAAAAATTAATTAAATTTTTTTCAAAATTTGAATATTTGATTTATGTAATAAAATTTTTTGATCTATCAATTTTAATTTTAAATTTTATTTTTATTGAATCAATTTTAATAAAAAATTTCACGAATTCTATCTAAATAACTTTATCTAATTCTTTTTTTATATATCCACAGATATACCATCAATTCATAATAAACTCGATTATATATATATATATCAAATTTATAATAAATCGAATTGTATTATACAATATGTATCGAGTATGTATGATTTCCAAAATTGATTGTCTGCATATTAGGGTGAGATTATTTTTATGTTCAGGAAGAGTCAAAGTAAAAAAAAAAAAAAAATCTCCTTGTTAAATTTGTAAGATGGACCTTTAACTTAAAATAATCAATGAAGAGATCCTTTGTTTTATATTTAAATATCAAGATATATCATATTTAATTGACATGAGATTTATATTTACAATTTAATCTTAAATTATAACTTTTGTGATTATGTTCCATTAATCCATTGCTTCCACACCACTCAATTGTATGTCCAATTGAGTTTTGTGCATCAATGTCCAAAGCCTTAATTTATCATTCTCTGCTTTTTGAGATGTGAATTACTTACCAAATACTCATTTTGTGAAGACCATAAGATGCAATCCCAAAGTATTAACTTAAGGTAAAGGCAGAATCCATTGTTGGATGGCCTTTTTCTTTTTCTTTTCTTGAGAATAGTGAAATTTCTGCCTCACTTAAAGTTTTAATTCTTTACTTCATTACCTGTAGCTTGAAAGATTCAGGCGAGTTACACGTTGAAACCTGTTTTTACAGGTTTACAACTATGAATATTTCTTCCTATAGAGACCAGTCATATGTTATTTCTCCCAGAGATTGCTCTTTCTTTATGGCTTAATTATTCTTGCAGTTTTCACCCAACAGCATTAGCGAGGTCTCAAATCTTGCAGGAAGCTCAATGTGCTTTTCAGCTAAGCAATATCAGATAAAAGCTTCGAAGCATTTGTGGCAAAGCTAGCAGTAGTGATGCTTCTTACAAGTGCAATGTTATAAAATTAGCTTTTTAACCAGTACTGCGATATTATAGTTTAATTTTAATTTTTTAATTCATTTTAATTTTTATATTATTTTAATAAAAGAATATATACTTTAATTTTTTTATTTATAAAAAAATAATTTATCATATCTTGATCTTAAAGTTTTTTATTTTAAATATATATATTTATAGTCTATTTTGTTGAGAAATCAACATTTAC